CTAGAAACAAGCGAAGAAAAGATCCGAGTCTTCCGAGATGCCGATTCAAAGAAACAAAGGCGACTTGCACCAGATACCAAAATTGCTCAGAAAGAAAGAAAAAAAATCAAAATGGCTTAGAGGGATAGAAGAAGAAGCTCATCGAGTCATCGCACACTTCCCGCCTCTCTCTCTTCCTCTCTCTCTCTCTCTCTTCACAACGTCCCGATGCGGGCAGTCCGTCACCTCGCACCTACGCCGAGTTGTCACCCCACTTTGCCCAAGCATGCCCGTCAGGTTCGCCCGTGTGCCACAGTTCGTTGCGGCCCCACGTCAGCCCCGCACGCCCAGCACCAACTCTTCGGATCACCCAACTTTTTTACTCACCTGCCAAATCCTCGTTAGCCGATCCTCTAGACCCCGCTAACTCCGAAAAGTCTTGGAGAGCGAATTAACCGCGCTTGCGAGATTTATAGCATGCATGTTTTGCGCGAGATACTCGCGATCGTGTTCAAGTGGGAGGAAGAAGGAAGAAAGAAGTGCTTACGCCTGCATGGCCAGGCCGTGGCGTAGGGGACGTAGCCACACTCCACACATCGATCCGGTCATGCAAGCGTTCATACCAATAGGATGGGGGAGAGGTATGCCCGCGCAAAGGCGCCACAAAAGATATCAAGAACGAGAGGATTACAGTTGCAATTACGTCCGCCAAACAAAGATTACAGTTACATACGAGATTAAGGCGAGGGAAAATCAGAACATAGTTCCTGACGTGGCCGACCGTGTGCAAGCAGGAGCGTTGCGTCGCCGAAATTGAGACGCGCCCAAACTCCTAATCTAAGTCTTAACTACAAAAAGAAAATCCGAACGAAGCAAATTCCGAGATTCTGCGAGATCTCGACGTCAGTTGAAAATTCAAAAAGATTTCTCCGCGCGACAATCACGCCAAATTTCTCATTTCTCACAGCAGAACAAGAAATAAGCTATGACAACCGTTTATTCGTCGCGCTCGCTTAGGTGCGATCAACTATCAACTGACAACCGCCATGGGCTGTGTGTCCGATAAACGGAGAACGGGCTAAAGTCAACGTCGTTCAACCCATTTAACGGGCCCCAGAACCCCCATTGAATCCCGTTTAACGCAAAAACGGGGGTCTCCTGTTGAATTTCGAAAAACGGATTGTGCGCGTTGGGCCTCGGACATGTGGCCCTACGTGCCCAAACACACAAAACAAAGATTACAGTTACATACGAGATTAAGGCGTGGGAAAGTTAGAACATAGTTTCCGACGTGGCCGAGCGTGTGCAAGCAGAAGCGTTGCGCAGCCGAAATTGAGACGCGCCCAAATTCCTAATCTAAGTCCTGACTACAAAAAGAAAATCCGAACTAAGTCCTGACTACAAAAAGAAAATCCGAACGAAGCAAATTCCGAGAGTTTGCGAGGGCTCGACGTGAGTTGAAAATTCAAAAAGATTTCCCCGTGCGACAATCGCGCCAAAATTCTCATTTCCCACAGCAGAACAAGAAAGAAGCTATGACAACCATTTATTCGTCACGCTCGCTTAGGTGCGATCAACTATCAACTAACAACCCACATGGGCTGTGTGTCCGATAAACGGAGAACGGGCTAAATTCAACGCCGTTCAACCCGTTTAATGGGGCCCAGGACCCCCATTGAATCCCGTTTAACGCAAAAATGGGGGTCTCCTGTTGAACTTCGAAAAACGGATTGTGCGCGTTGGGCCTCGGACACGTGGCCCTACGTGCCCAAACACTCAAACCGGAAAAAAAAAATAAAAAAATTACGACTTTAATGAAGGCCATGCGAGCGGGACGACCCCCAGGCCATCCGACTTTAATGAAGGCCATGCGAGCGGGACAACCCCCAGGCCTGCCACACACCCTTGGCCACGAACCTCCCCATCTTCCCCCGCCCCCCCCCCCCCCCCCCCCCCCCCCCCCCCCCCCCCCCCCCCCCCCCCCCCCCCCCCCCCCCCCCCCCCCTCAGAAACAAATACTAGATACGTGCCCTTCTCGCGATTCTGCTTATAATAGTTATAGAAGGATGATGCACACATGCACCCGTAGTTTTCTATCAGAATGCTAGCTTTGTACTTCTGCAATCTAACAGTTCTACCATTGGGCAATTTCAAACTGAGGTTGCGCGACCTCGAGGTAGTACATGCCTAAGAGCATATCAAAGGGCAGTTTGTCGCTAACCAAGAAGGAGATCTTATGAGGTGCAGACTACGTCCTTGACATAGTCTTTTACCAACATTTTGGTGCTTGTTGGCCAGCATAGAAGCTACAGTTTTGCTAAGCCGCTGCACTTGGTCCCCTAAGCGCAGTCTATCCACACAAGCACGACTGATGAAGTTCCGCATAGAGCCTATGTCTACGAAGGCGCCAACCTTGCGACCACCTACATCAACCTCTACCACGAAATGTTCATCTTTTGGACCTCTACTAATCATCGCCCAAGAGTCCCTGGGGTCCTTCCCTGACCACTCAGTCTCTAACTCTTCTAGGGCCTCAGACACATCTCTCGAACATAGCGTCGGTGGGTCTGAATGTGTCTGCGGGGCGATGCGTGGGTCACTAGCCTTGGCCAACGCCTGAAGCGGGGAAGGCAACGTTACCACTTCAGTGGGTCTGAATGTGTCTGCGGTGCGATGCGTGGGNCAAAACCCCCCATACCCCAATTCCGACAGAACATTATAAGTTAGTATATCAATCAATATAAATCAATTCAACAATTCACAGTTAAACAAATAGAAAACAATCACCCGAGTCTGCAGGTACTGCAAAAAAAAACAAAAAACAAGTGAAATATATGAGATGAAAAGTTTGAACTTCATTTAAAGATATTTAGATATTCATTCACACGGTGAGAAAAATAGACATGAAACGTCGTTCACACGACGTGCAATAATTGTAACTGAAATCATACATTAAAAATGTAATGTACATGAGAAGTTGTGAAAAACCAGTCGTTGAAATCACACACGCCGCTAGTGCTACACTGCCACATGCTGAATAATGGAAAAAAACGGTAATCTACAAGTCGTGTCGACGGTGGTGAGAATCTCTACTAAGACCAACGCTGAAATACTGTACAGAAGCCCTACTCACACCAGAATAAGATATACAAAAAAGGAAGAAAACAACAACGACGACAACACGCACACTACAAGTGACCACTTGACAATACTAAGACAACACAGCATGGCCAAAACCCAGGACCGCAGAATGTGACAAAGTCGTGTGCAGGTGCGGGAAAGTGAAGTCACCGACCCCTCTTCCTCTTCCCGCTCTACCTGCTCGTGCCCCCTCGACTGCCGGATGTCCGTCTCCTCTTCCCTCGTGTGGATGAAGACGTATGCGCAACACTTCTCGAAGCACATGTCGGTGGGGGGGGTGGGGGCTCATCCTCCTCGTCATCGTCGTCATCGCCGTCGCCGCTCCCACTCTCCTCCTCCTCACCCTCATAGTCCTCATTATCCTCCTACGCTGCCGGTGTCGTCTCAAGATCATCCTCTTCGATGGTGACAGGGTCGCCTCCCTTCCTCAACACAACATTCCTCGCACTAGCATGTGCAACCATCTGCTGACGGCGGGATCCACGAGGCATCCCCAACCCCTCCGCCCCCGAAGACTCTCCAAGTGCAGCGCCTCCCTGTGCAGGCACGGGGCGTGGACGAGGCACTCCACGCTTGCGTGGAGTCTGGTCATGCACAGCATGCGTCGCTGCTCTCAAAGCATCGCCCAAGGTCTCTGTAGACACTCCTCTGTCGCGACCTCGCTGCGGCTCACAATCTGAAGTTGAAACCTCCCTCACTCCCGTCCTCCTGGCGCCCCGGGTTCCCAAACCTGGTTGAAGGCATGCCGTAACCTCAGTGACACGGCAGGTGGAATCCAAATTTGTGCCCGTCCTCCCAAACAACGTCGTGTCGCACACATCCCGCTGAACCGCCGTCGTGTCATGAATCCTCGTTCGCCCGGGCATGTGAGGGGATCGAGAACCCGGGCCTGTTGACAACGACGATGGATCACCCACACGTGGTCTAGGAGAAGGGGGTGGCATGTCTCCCGCACCTGGCGCTCATCTGTCTTGCTGCGTCCTCCAGTGGAGGTGGACCCGGACCACGCTGGCGACGGAGGGGCCCATGGAATGGAAGGGATCGTCTGCCACTGTGGATGGGTGAGTTTCTGGTCAAATATCTGCGGCATAATTTGCCGGTCCAATCGAGTAACATCGAGCACAGCGGCTGCCACCAACTCCTCTGCATCCAATGGTGATGAACCTCCTGCGGAGCCGGTCGTCTAGGACGTGGACGCACAACCAACGGCTCGAACCCCAAGTCTGTGATAACAACAGGTGGCACATCATGCACTGCCACCTCAGTCGGCTGCGACTGTCGGGCCTCGACCAACTGCAGGCCTGAGAACGGGACAATCTGACCCGGCGCTGTCATGAACTACGGCCCATGAGTAGCCCGGCCCCCCGTCTCACCCCTGTCCAGCCTGCACAGCCTCGTCCACCGTCTGTGGCCCGCCAACCATAGCCTCAACCACTGTCTTTGGCCCACCCTCCAAAACCTTATCTACCGTCTCTGTAACGTCCGTCTGGACCGCCCCCGCGACCATCCAACCCTGCCGACCATCTCTCCCTGTCTCTCGACGCCTGCGCTCCTCCATGGCCTGTGTGAACGCCTGAGCACGTGGGTCGCTGGATGCCATAAGTCGAGCCCTCTCTTGCTCCATGATGTCTCGTGCCGCATCTGGAGACTCCGTCGCCGTCCTCTCTCTCGAGGTCCGCGAACCTGTCTCGCCTGCCTCCTCGTCCATTGAAGGCGCTCGACTAGTCGATGTCGCCCCGCCGCAACTAGGGGAAGCGGCCATTGACAGGTCAAAGTTGAAGTGGGTCCCCATCTCTGAACCGGCACACCCTGTGAGAGGAGAGATCCCTAGCCCCCTCGCCACACTCGGGGTAAAACCGCCCACCACTAGATCGACCTCCTCGGTGATAAACTGTTGCACGAGGCGCTCCTCGGCGTCCACACCATTCGGCTCCTATCCCACCACAACAACTCTAGCTCGCACCTCCTCCTTCCCCGCCGCCGTTGCTTGTACCTCCTCCTCCGCTCCTGTTACCTTCGCCTCCACCGGTGGCGCTGCTGTCACCTCGACCTCCGGTACGACTGGCCGCCCCATGTCCTTCGGAGTGGCACGATGTCCAACCTCCTCCTGCAAAACCCTCGGGGAAGGTGATGGTAACCTCAACCAGCGAATCACCGTAGATCTGTGCAGAGGACCGTGTTGAGGCAAGGAGGATGCCAACTCCTGTGTCTCCACCTCTATAGCGGGCATTTGAAGTGGCGAAACGGGCGATGGTGATATAGGACCTGGAACTGGAAGTGGCGCAGGACTTGGAGCAAGAGGTGGCGCAGGACTCGGAGTAGTACGTGGCAGAGGACATGGAACAGAAGCTGGCGGAGAACTCGAAGGAGGAGGTGGAGCCGAACTCTGAGCAGGAGGTGGTGGAGGACTCAAAGCAGGAGGTGGTGCCGAACTCGGAGCAGGAGGTGGTGCCGAACTCGGAGCAGGAGGTGGGCGAATGGACGACTGAGGCCTCCTCGTGGTAGGAGTCGTGATCCTCGCCTCTGCGCGGCTACTGCGTGCATGAGATCCCCCCCACTCTCTCATCGCGCATATCATCTGTGGAAGCCACCTCCCCAAAATGACCCCAACGATCCTCGTTTTCCCCCATCATCTCCATCTCATCAAAGTCCCGCCCCCGCCGTGCGGTGTATGTCCTCGTCTCCGCGTCCTTGGGATCCTTGTGTGAATCGTCGATCTCACGATGAATGGGGAGCCCAGGGTCATCCGCTGCCTCGGGTATCCGCTCGTCATCAGAGTCATCGTCCCTAGGGTACAGACGGAAAATGTAACCACGTCGCTCAAAAACAGCAGTGGCAGGGGGCGGTGCGGAAGCACCGATCGTAATAAGCACAACCTGTTGGGCAATCTCCTCTTGCGTCATCCCCTTGCGCGTGCCCGTGTGCACCGGCTCCAGCTCAATGCCTGCTTGGCAGTCGAGCATGCCTTTGTCCCGTTGTCATGGCAGCACCCCGCCCGCCGATACTCCGTCAATTGCATATTTGCGGTGATCTCAACGAGCTGCATGACCTTCTCGAAGGCCAACTGGTTGCGCTTCTTCGTGTGAATGCCCTCGTGGACCGCCCAGTTCCTTTCAGCTGGAGAGGCGCAACACCGCATGTGCATCACACGAAGAGCGCACCGTTGCAACTCAGGCACGCTAGCCCCATACTGGGACCACCAAGACGCGCACTCGATTGTCTCGGCGTCACCGCTACACGCGCGCCCACGAGCACGCCCCTCCGCCCCGCCCCAATCACCAAACCTGCCTTGCTGCATGTGGAAGTCCTCGAGTTGCCGACAAGCAACGATGTAATCCGCATCGTACAACTCGAAACCCGTCTGCGTCAAAATGTACCTTTTGGCTTGCCTCACAAGCCAAGCATGGTAAGTCTCCATCTCGCTAGAAAAGTAACGAACATGTCGCCTGCGCGGGTTCAGTAAAAATCCAGCGCAGTGAATCGGCTCAAGCATGTGATGTGTGCGGGTCTGCACACGCCTGATGATCCGATCAGCGAAGGACTGGCCCAAAGGAGCACATGCGTCCTTCACACGGTGGACAAGATCATGTGCCCACTCGACCATGAGCAACATGAACTACCCTCCAGGATCCATCCGCCTAAGCAACTGCATGACGGGCTCCATAATATGGACAATGGTGACAACCCTCTGCCACCAAGGATTCCATCTGATCTGTCGGCGCACCCAACGCGCCATCTGGGACACATCAGCAGACCATGGGATAGAAGCAAATGCCCCGGGCCCGAGTCGTCCCCTCGCATCATGCCCTGTAATATGTCTTGCAGAGCCAGCAGCCTATCCAGCATGGAGTAAACAGACGTGAACCGCATCTCGCAGAAAAGAATAAGCCCCTTGTCGGGGATGCGCCTCCTAAAAAGAGAAAGGGCGGCTTGGTGGGTTTTGAAAAACACCACCAGCACACAAGCAAGTGTGATTGCGCCCACAAACACGTCGCAATGCGTCCCCACGTCTGACAACAATTTGTTGACGGAGCACGGGAGCCAAGTGATCCTCCTCAATGCAAGAGGCATGGTCGATGAGGCCAACGCCCTTGCAACCCCCACGTACGCTGAAGCGGAGTCGGTGCAAATCGCATTGACCCGCTGCGGCCCACCGAACTTGAACTCGTGGAAGATGATGACCCATCTCTGAAGGATGTGCACTGCATCGTCTGGCTCCCCCTCTCGATTGATCGTCATGTACATGACGACCCCTCGCAAGTCTGCGGCAAGGAAACTCACAATCGGTCTCCCGTCTCATGATTTCCTCCCATCAGAGAGGACTCGGATGGTGGCACCAGTCACCTAAAATGGTTGCCTCACCTCCTCCAACTCCTCCGCCAATTCCGCACGGTGGGTCTCCACCACCTGCATGTTGGCAATCTCGTTGTAGCTAGGAAGCACACCGTGCGACGAACTGCCAGGCTGCTCAAGGAACACATGTTGATATGCCTTCCATGCCTTGTTGCAGAAGGCATTGAAGGTCACCCCGCTGGAATAAAGTCAGTGGAGGAAGGCCTTCTTGTGACGAGCAACCTACTCGCCATCGTAGTCCTCAGTCACCTTCTGCTGCCGGAGCCTCTTTCCAGCGTGGGTAGCAGCCGGATCAGCTCCTCCTTCCTTCCTCTTCGAAGGACCATCCTCCCTCAGACCAGTCGGTGAAGGCACCGCCTCCTTGACCTATGAATCCCCCGTGGTCATGACCGCGGGATCAATCTGGGGCCGACGGAACCGGTTCGGGAATGGGACCAAATGTCATCCGCGCGAATAGGCGAGGCCTTGACGGCAGCAGGCCGCCAAGCGCTTCGCGAAAAAGACGGGTCTGTTGGCCGCCCGATTCGCCGATCGTCGTGATGCCAACTACGGCCGTTTTCTCACTGGTGGCCGTTTTCGCGAAGCACGATGCTGACCCGCTGTGTCCGGGAAAAAAAAACGAGTGTGGGCTCGAAGGACCGTTCGACTTTTGCATCAGACGGTTGAAAGTTGTGAGGGCATGTGGAAGGTTGCGCTGCATGACAGTCTTCGGGATGCAGGGCATAACTTCATTGCGCCAACGTCGTTGCGCAGTCGCTACGCCATTCCGCCCAAACATTCTTCGAGGACGTAAGCCACGCTGCAACGGCGACTTCGTCTTGCGCGAATGCGCATCGCCATCTCCATCGACGACAGTTCCAAGGTACGGTAAAATTCAGATCGCCATCGCCAGCGACTCCGTCCTGTGCGAATACGCATTGCCCTCGCCATCGACGACAATTCTAAGGTGTGTGGACGATAGAGCCGCTGCACCAGCGGCTCCGTCTTGCGCAAATGTGCATCACCATCGTCATCGACGACAGTTCTAAGGTGTGTGGACGCGTGGTCGTCGTCTGGAAGGCGTGGCGCATGCTTCAATGTTCGCGCCCCGGTGGATGTTGCGTAATGAAGGCATGCGAACGTTGTGGAGGCCACAACGCTTATCGCTACGCATCGTCACAAGGCTTTGAACAGACCTTTGAAAAACGTAGCAATCATCATGGATGGAATGAATCAGAGCAAGACAATATTGCCTCACTTCAGAAGATGTCCTAAAGACTCAAAACTCAAGGAAGGAAACTTTGTGAAGGTCCATGTCGTCGGAGCGAAGATCTTAGGTATCACGTCAAGCGCTCATGCAACGTTATTTTTTGACAATTTCAAGTCAGACTCCAATTGCCTGTTGACTGTCATTCACCGTCGAATCACTAATATACCCAGACTGCTTCCAAGAGTTTTTTATTTAACATTGGACAACACTACGAAAGAGAACAAAAATAAGTATAACGACCATTTCGTCAAAATGGACATCTTTTATTTTTTGAACGAAATTGAAACCGAGTTTTTTGGCTGAAAACTCGTCAAAATTTGTTGTTCCTGAGGGTCCAGCGTTTTACAAACGCTGGACCCCCTGGCTGTACATGGACCTAGCTTGAGACCAGGCACCTGGAGGTAGGACTGCCTGGAGGTACCTGGTCTCAAGCTAGGTCCATGTACAGTCAGGGGGTACCTGGTCTCAAGCTAGGTCCATGTACAGCCAGGGGGTCCAACATTTTACAAACGCCGGACCCTCAGGAACAACAAATTTTGACGAGTTTTCGGCAAAAAACTCGGTTTCAATTTCGTTCAAAAAATAAAAAATGTCCATTTTGACGAAATGGCAGTTGTATGTATTAACATATCTCGTCTTTCTCGTAAAGATGAATGTAAGGTCAGGTTGAATTTTCTTCTCGTAGGTCACAACCACGAGGATATAGACAAGATGTTCAGTTGTTTCTCTAGAAAATTAGCCACACAGAATGCATTCGATCTTCTTGAGCTACATCATATCATTAGAGAATCGTACGAGAGTGAACAAGAGCACAACGTTCTTGTTGAAGAAATCACAGACACGATAGACTGACAGTTTCACGTAAAGGAGCATTTGCACAACGTGAACGAATTCGTTTCAATCAGCACTTCCGCATCAAACGCAATGATGCAGGAGAAGTCGGTGTCTGGAGCAAGCAATATCAACCCAATAACAGAGAAGGTTTGAACATCTTCAAGTCTGAGCCAATAGGAGAAGTTCAAGCCTCTCCGAAACATGCTATTAGATCTTTGGAGGTTAGGTTTAGATTGACATATGGTGGTGATACTAAAATTGGTGAAAATTATGCCTTGAATGACGACAATTACCCAAGCGATGAAAACCTTTTGTCTCACCATAGACCACGGGAGTGTTATGAGGAAAAAGCGAAAGACCGCTCTGTTTCAATTGCTGCACTAAAAACAAATATTGAGGCCTTGGAGAAGTACGTTCAGCCACACAATCTGCTTTGGTGGAAAGAGTTTGTACAGACGCAAAAATTGCTAGATCTAGAAAATACAAACCTCAAAGTACCTTTTCATTGGCCAGTAGCTGCATCGAAAGAGACAATGGCAGAGGTTACTGCCACACCAGCCACAGATGACGTTGGTCATCGCCTGGATGACATATTCCTGCCTACAAGACCTGTTTACCTTGACACGAGAAAGAGCAGACGATACATAGAAGAAAGGGATGACAAGTATGAAGACCTTGTGCTTGGCAAATTTATCACACCGCGAGCAGCACCTGGACAGGAAGAGAGAGGTAAGCCTTACGACATCGGTAAGGTTATCGAGTTGCTGTCACGAAGATGCTTCAAGGTTGCCTGGTTTGTTCAGTGTGAGAAAGGAGAAGGTTATTACCTTTGTTACAAAAAGAAGTCCATCAAGGAACATTTTGAGGACATCTTTGATTGGAGTTGCGGTGTTCTTTGTTACAACTTTGAGCTCAAGATTGACAAGACCCTCTTTCCTTCGACTAGAAAGAAAATTTATGAAATGTTAGAACTATGAAACCGCGCGTTCATTAAACGCGGGTTTTCCGTTGAGAAACTGAACGGAATGCACGCGCGTTCAATGAACGAGACTGAACGCGGAGTTCAATTCCGCGCAGGGAAAAAAAAAAAAAAAAAAAAAAAAATTCCGAAAAAAAAATGTTATGAAGAAAAATAAAATAAACAACATTTGCCCGAGCATTACATCTAAGTTCGTTACCAAATTGGAAAAACAAATAGAAAACAGAAAATAAAAAAAAGTAAAAAAAAAATTGAAATTAGTGAGCGAACACGATTTTACACCGCCATCTTTGGCGATTTTTTTTTTTTTTTGCCTTAGCAAAATGACTCCAAAATTGAGACGCAGGTACCTCACATCATACAGAACTCATTAAAAAAAAATCAGAAAAAAAAAGTTACTTTTAGGCATCGAAATGATTTAAAAAAAATAATAAAAAAATAATTGAACGTCGTTCAATTTTGAACGTGAATTTAAATCCGCGGTAAAACGCACATTTGAACGTGAATGCGCGTTCACGGCGTTCAAACGGTTACACAATGTTAGAATCAATGACTGCCGAAGATGACGAAGGTGATGATA